GTTGAAGGACGAGGCTTTGAAAGTTGTTTGGAAAACTTGAATGTTGATGCATGAAGTTGAGTATTGGAGGACGAAGTTTTAAAAGTTACAGGCAAAACTTGAATGTTGATGCATGAAGTTGAATGTTTCATGTCAACATTGAATTTTGGCGGGATTGGAACGCCATAAATACAATGCCCTTCGATCCGAAACATCAACACAGCACTATGCACGTTGACGCCGCGGTGCCTTAGACGCACCTCTTAGGCTTGTTGTTCTACCTTTGTGTCGGCCGCCTGGTTATGAATGCTACGCTTTTGATTGGCTGATTTGCATCTGTCTGTATGTGCATCAAAGTTTATCGTGGTGAAAAAATAGTAGTTTCAATTTATGTATTCTACCTCAATTTTTGATTTTGGTTATTTTGAAGTGGGTAAAATGGGAGGGTGATGATCGGAACGATAGTCTTTTTAGCGCAAAAAATGAAAAATGAATTCAAAAACTAAAAAGTTAACAATTTAATTTGCTAAAACCTTAAATGGCCATAAGGTGTGGGATTTTTCTCTCTGTGTCTGTCAATTTTTTCAACTATTTAAACGACAACTCGAAAATTGAAAAAATGGAATTCAAAGTTTAATTTTAATTAATAAAAAAATCGAAAATTGGGGCCAAATTTAATAAATCGATAATTCAATTTTATCAAAAAGACGAATGGCCATAAGGTACACGCATTCTAAATGCCTCTGTTCTCGCTAACTAACTCTTACTTTTACTTGGCCGGCCGTGTATTTAGTGACTAACAGTCAAACTAAGACCAAAAAAAAACAATGGAATATGGTATTTCATATAGTATTTCTGACGTCGACTGAGAGGAGCTTTGGATGCTACGCGTGATGATTGACAAAAAAAAAGACATATCTTGTGCTTACCTGTGTTACGTAATCGAAAAGGTTTTGCTGAATCGACAAAGTTTTTTTGCTGAATCGACAGAGTTTTACGCGTGATGATTGACAAAAGACATATGACACGTGCTTATTGTTACGTAATTGACCGAGTTTTTTGCTGAATTGACCGAGTTTTGTAATCGACAGAGTTTTTGGAGTTGACCGAGTTTTTGTAATCGACAGAGTTTTTGTAATTGACCGAGTTTTTTGCTGAATTGACCGAGTTTTGGTGATTGACCGAGTTTTTGTAATCGACAGAGTTTTTGGAATTGACCGAGTTTTTGTAATCGACAGAGTTTTTGTAATTGACCGAGTTTTTTGCTGAATTGACCGAGTTTTGGTGATTGACCGAGTTTTTTGTAATTGACAGAGTTTTTGTAATTGACCGAGTTTTGATGATTGACTATTTTTATAAGCATTGATTGACAAAAAAAAACAACATATGGAACGTGCTTGTGTAATGCAATGAACTGATAAGTGTACACATTCAAGCGAAGTAACGCAATTGACAAACAAGTATTCAATAACATCGAAATGACAATTTTGAACCATTCCGCGCGCCATAAAAGCCGATCAAATTTCGTAGAAGAGATGTAAACTTGGTTGAATCGAGAAGGAGATCGGGCGCAGCGAGTTCGCATAAACTAGAAGACCTACATTTACTAGAGGGGTCGGAGATTGAAGTTGAA